AAATAACTAAATCTTAATATGGCTGTGAACTGAGCAAGGAACCCTATTTATTATTATCCCCATCTCACAGAAAAGAGGTAGAGATGGAGGTGCTTGGTTAGCATTAACTCTACCTCAGAATTAAGGAGTCAGCTCTCAAGGTATAATACAGTTCCCAACATTTTCCCCAAGGTTTTAATTAAAAATAATAGGCACTGCGCTCTTGGACAGCCTGGTTTTGCTACCCTCCCCCCTATTGCATTCTTTCGTTAAAGCATTCTGGTGCTCAGACTCAGAGTGAAAAAAACAATTATTGATTTCAGCCAATTTGAAGTCACGTGGTTCTGCCCAGTCCCGAGCAGAGCAAAACCTGATGGCAGTTTTACAACTGGGCGGGTAGTTTGATTTAAAATGCAGGCAGACGTTTAATTTGTACGACAAGGAGCTGTGATTTTCCAAACAACAAGCTGAAAATTCTTTGTTCCTCTTATTAGAGTTTCCCTGCGAGGGAGAGGTTTGCAGGGCTTACCCACGGGTGGTTCGCGCGGGGCAGGAGCCAGAGCCTCTCTCTGGTGCTGCCCGGACTGTGGGCAGCGAAATCTGCCGAACGCGGGTGCTTCAGCAGTTGTGGGTCAGTCTGATTTCTCAGAAACTCCATCGATAGGAGGCTCTCCGGTGCTGCCCGGGCTGTGGGCAGCGAAATCTGCCGAACGCGGGCGCTTCAGCAGTTGTGGGTCGGTCTGATTTCTCAGAAACTCCATCGATAGGAGGATTTCTGTGTTTAAGGCAGTCAGCAGAGAAATTCCGCATTTTCTCATTCGTGCCCAACCCCTCCTCCCTCTTTCTCAAAAGAGAGGCAAACCGATAACGCTGCTTAGGTCAAAAATGTTGATGAAAATGAACTCTGTGTTCCTGTGCGGGGCTGTGCTGCCCCAGGGCAGATCCCAGTCATAGCACTGTTATATTCTGGTACAAGGCTCTAGAAAAAGCAGGATGGGTGCAGGAGACGCTGTTCCCAAACTGTCACAACGGCCTCCGCTGTGACCATGCGCGTGAAAAGGTGCAGATTTCAGATACTGATTCTGTAGCATCTGTGTTACAAGATGTTCCTTTTCTCAGTCCTCTCCCCAGCAACTGCTCTTTTTATCTAAGTTTATCCAGAACTAAGGAATTAAGTTCGTCCTTCAGAAGTGTCTGAATGTCGCTGCTTTACTCCCGAGACCGGTCTTTCAGGCAATTGCATCCACAACGTAGACACATGTGCTATTGAGCCTGAGTCTTCCTGAAGTCTGTCTGACAATGATCTATATATTTAAGTGCATCAAAGATTCTGGAGGTACGTAAAACGCTCATGACAGTTGTTCCTCTTGGTACCTGACACTAATTACACAGGGGAAATATTTCACTATTAAAAAAAGTTATTGTTGGACAAGTTGCAAGTGAAGAAGCTTCACCCTGACCAGGCTGCACGTCCACGACCCTCTCGCCGTGACTGACTCAGGAGTCAAGGAAAAAAGGGAGCGAGACGGAGGGAAAGCAGACGCCAACTGCTCAAAGGCCGCGTGAAGAGCGAGGAAATGCACCGGGGAGCAAGAGCGAACAGAGCACGCACCTGAAATTCAAGCACTGAGGCACAGACGACGCTGCACGAGTGCACACGCATCGCTCGCGTTTATTGGGGCACCAACCATTTTGGCAATTCATGTGCTTAAGGACAAACGTTACAGCCGCTGCGCTGCACGGATGACGCGCGCACCGGGACGCCGTCCCGCCGCGTGACGCCGCTGCCGAGACTCGGTGTCGCTGCGATGGGAACACGCGCTGCTGCGCCGGTCAAAGCCCTTGCTCAGCACCTTAAACTGGGACGAGCTTTTAAAGCGCGGTTACAACCAGGAGCTAAGGTGTTCCCTTCCTGCACCACGTTTGTGAAAGGCCACACGATTACAGCGCATCAGGCTCTTCTTCGGTTAAAGGCGGCGTTTAGTGCCGGTGAAACGGCCAGACGGGCACCAGGGATGCAAATTCTTTCTGTAACTGAAGCTCCAGAAGCACAGAGATGGGTAAAACGATAGCGATCACCCGGCCTTCAGCGAGCAAACCTCCGAGGCAGCCATGTCTCTGTGTCCAGGGCCCATTTAGGGCCTGACCTCTGCGCTGAAGCGTTCAGCAAGGAATTTAATGCTTATTTTAAACGTGTACGGGAGTAGGAGCGAGGGTAAGGAGACAAGCCCATATCCAAGAGGCTTTCTGCACTGGTCTGGGCGGTGACACGTCCCCGGCAGTGCCGCAGCCCACGTCCCACACCTCTATTCTAAAATACCTGTAATTAACACCTCGGTGTACAATTAATAACAGTTCAGTGCAAATGTACTAGTGATGTTCGCAAGTTCATCCCACTAGTACCATTTTCGTAGTAACTCCTTAACTGTATCTTTAGGGGCAGGGAAACACTGATAAAAAGGTACTAAAACCCAAACCCTAACATTTACAACACTTCAGAACGGGAGTTGCACTTTAAATTATCCCCGTCTTACATTTTAAATCCCGCAGATACCTTCTGTTCAGGAGAGTTTAGGAGAAGCACATCCTTTTCCGACTCGGGGTCAGTACCACAGGTTACTTGTTCTTTGAAAGTCTGCCAGCGTGTTAACAGCTTCAGCTCTTACAAAGACGAATTGCAGCAGTTCAGTTGACATTTTTTAACCAAAGAGATTTTATTTTCTAGGCAACGAAAGCAAACAGCCAAGCAGTGATACTGACACATCTCCCTCAAATGGAACCAATTCTCCAATGGCAGATTTCCAATGCAAACGTGATACAGCAAAGCTAAACACTCTGGATTAAATAAAGCGAATTTTAAAAATACTGCAACTGAGAAATGCCAAAAAAATATTATTTGGTTTTTTTTTTTTTTTACACACTTTCAGAAATCCATCCAGGATACAAAGCTAAAATCTAAGTGTTGCTCCCCAAAGTCAATGCGTTCGCAAACATGGCATACAATAAATATCTACCTTCCACTTCTGTTTCAAAGCCACCCGGCGCCAGTCCCCTCGTGCACCTCTCTGAGGTAGGGATTACGTCCGTTTCACAGATGGCACATGGTGAGGACCCGCTCCTTGTCCAAGGCGTCTCACCGCTGCAGTGTGAAAGCTGAGAACACAACTTAGGATCGACAGTCTCTTGGTCTCGTTCCTAGACAGTATTTCATCTCAAGTAGTTATAACACAGTGTAATCTTCAAGTTCCTTTCCACTGTCAGGTATTTCTGTAGGTTTATAAGCATCAGCTTCTAGAGGGCTGGTGGTAATGTTGTGGGGTTTGGGTTTTTATTTTTTTTTTCCTATTGACAGGCTAAAAGCAAAGTGGGGTTTAACGCTGGGAGCTGAGTGGCTTTCTGTAGGAAACTCCCAACAGTGCTAATGTGTATTTTAATACTGAATTAAGAAGAAACCTGGTCCATCGTGCTCTTGGTGACTCTATTCTTTATACTTAATTAGTCACACCTCGATTCAGCAAAGCACTTATGTAATTATGTTCCTTCCCCAGCAAGACCCTCCCGTATTTCCAGGTCCAGCCGGGAGCCTCTGCTGAGAGCTTCAGCAAAACGTGCTTTTTATAGAAAAGAAGCTTTTGCTGCACCAGCAGTTTAGCCCGATGCCTTCACGACTGGAGGCCTTTAAAACTAGATCTTAGGTTCCACTTGGAAAGCGGTTTTATTTCTGCCTCAGTCCGAAGACGCACGTTCTTGCTCCCCATTTGTGATAGTGCAAGGCGGGTAACTCAAAGCAGAGTAACAGAAGAAGAGCAGGCTAAGAATATTTCAGAATTCAATAAAACAAGTACGTGTTGCAGGCATTTCAAAAGAAAATAAAAATCCCTTTCAGTAATATGCACCTTTACAGCACCTTTTTAAAAGACCTCAAAAGCACTTCCCCGCTGCGAGGTAAGGTATATTAAACCAATTTCAACTTCCCTGATTCCAAACAGTACGAGAAGTGGGGCAGTTTACGCAGCTTATTTTGTTCTGACAATGGAACTGCACCCTTCATTATCAGAATTAGAGTCTTGCTACTGAACAGTCATCGGTGACAAATCAAACACGTTAAGGCAGAATGCAGATGAAGAAACTTCAAGCCTCCCTTCTGGCTTTGCACTCCTGTCCTTCTAAAAAGGGCAAAACCTTTTACTGGCAAAGAGTGAGAACTAGACCTTAAAGTGCTCATTTACAGTATTTGGAATCTGGTACGGCTTAGTAACACTGTGGCCTTGAGGTGGGCTATACCCAAGTAAAGATTGCTTAAATGTATTTACCAGATGCAAACTAAGTCACTTCCCTAACTACAGTATTTCCCTCTTGCCAGAATTTCAGATACTATTATGAAGAAGAATCCAAAGTACTCAAGAAACACGCCTATGTCCTGATGCAGTGTAAACACTGGGGGGGGGGGGGTGATAGTTATTTTTCAAGCAACTAAAAACTACCTACAGAGGATTAATAAGTTTATTCAACACTTAACCACCTACTCGTTAATTTAAAGAAGGCTATCTTAAAGCTTAGAGGCCATTTCTTTCTCTAAAGCCATGACTTCACACAAACAATACAGTCTACTTCCGATGGTATCATGGTATAGGGCAGCTCTGGAAATACTTTTCCCATTAAACATCCTGCACCAAACGAGCAGCTTTTCCTGCAAGAACTGCTTGTACGGGCAGATTCTAATTAAGCCCAGTACAAGTAATGCTGATACGTTGTGTTTCCCCAATGCTGAGGTTAATTTAATTACTCTGAAAACACAACACAGAGAGATTAATTCAGCAATTTAGAGGCTGGGTTTTACGCTAGAGTTGAACAGGCCTGATTTTGTGTGTCCGCTCACACCACGCACACAAAGGTACGTGACTATTTCAGATTATTCCAGAAATCACCTTGTAGCTGCCGGTGTATACCACCTGCCGGAGTACTATAAATTAGCATGCGAGAAGATATACCTATTTCAAATCCGCTGGAAAAGTCCCTACGCGTAACAAACCTGTGCGTCTTGGCCACCATGAAGTTAATATGCTCTTCAAGCTTCGTGAACGGAATTTTATGATTACATACAGCTTATCTGGAAACCCAGAATCTTATTCTGGATCGGTGAGGTAGTCGATGTAACCATCCTCATGCAGACGTCACACTTCTCCGAAGTTGGTGTGTCCAGTCTCCTTGGCATGCTCTCTGGCTTCCACTTGTCCCGTCAGTCCCTTCTGGCACACCATGCACCTCAGCGTAAAGTGATTCACGTCGGTAAACTGCCTCTTCCGCCTGGCTTCATCCGCCAACTCCAACGCTTGTGCAAGAACAACATCATCAGTCGTGGAGAAAATGGTCTGGGGAGGAACGTCCGAGTCGGGGATTTTACGCTCGAGTGGATCGTAATGAATCCCATCGTAAATCAAAAGGACCCGCTTCGTGTAACCGGCATCTTCCCCAAAACGGTCGATCCTGACTGTCTGTGTGTCCACCACACAGATTTCGCACTGGTAAAATTTGGATAAAATGGACACTTCGATGGCTCCTCCCCAGGTCTCTTCCCTTCTGATCCAGTCACAATACTCCCTGTTCGTTTTCCCTAGAACTGCCTCACAGTAAGACTCGGGATCGCTTGCTACTATCTGGGCTATAAGGCTGCGCATCTCAGGAGCGCAACCCGGGTCGTAAACGCCTCCCTCCACCACGTAGTAGACGCTGGTGAAGAGACAGGAGTTATCTGCCGGGACCACCCTCCTGGCAAGCACAGGCACCGTTTCCCTCACCGAGTTGGGCATCGTTCTTTTTGCAACTACGGGCGAGTCAGCCTTGGGGTGGGTCGTATCCTCTTCAACGATGAGAGTGTCGCCTGTCAGACACAGAAGGAGGAAGAATTGAGAGAAACACGCGGACGGGAGTTAAAGATGCCCCTAAACCAGAAGATCGCGGTCGCGTTGTTGTTGTTGTCATTAAGGATCGCGCTGGCTGTCCCCGGTAGCCCGGTACCTGCCAGCAAA